AAATGAACTGTGATTTTCATGACTTATGTTTTGAATATAAGACTAATCGATTATATTCACTTTTGAATATAAAGATCATCAGTCGATTGAAGGTAGAATCATCATGGAAAAACCTGGAGCACGAGATGATCGTTTCGTCGCACTATGGGATTATTCAGCGAGGTTCGAACCAGGACCTATCGGTCTCGAGGCGCGAATACCTAACCTTTAGACTATGAGCCGGGCATCCAATGGTGTTATTGTCTACCTTCACTTCAAATTGAGCGACATATCAACTTACTGAAAAAAATCAGTATTGTTGTACAAAATCGTCTTACTTCATTAGATTTGTCACTTGTCGTCCAGAAGTAAAGGTCGTCTAACAACATTCTCCCTCGAATTATGTCCTGGATAGTCCTTCCTAGTTCTTTCCTGTCGCTATTCACTTTTTTTTCATGCCCGCCTCTAGTTTCCGATAAAGTGTGTTCTTTGGTCTTCCTCTTTGCCGTTTACCTTCAGGATTCCAATTTAGTTCTTGCTTTGTGATGCAGTTTGGTGATTTCCTCAATTTATGTCTTATCCACTTCCGATGTCTACTACGAAGTTCCTCTTCAATTAGAACCTGGTTTACTTTCTCTCGCAGTAGGATATCGCTAATGGTATCCGGTTGACGAACATCGAAAATCTTACGTAAACAATTGTTTATAATTACTTGTACCTATTTGTTGGTTTTTGTAGTTGTTCTTCACATTTCATCTCCGTACTATACAATTAACTGTTTCGACGTTTGTATTAAAGATTCAGACTTTAACGTTGGTTGACAGTTGTTTTGAGTTCCATATGTTCTTCAACTGTGGCTCAGATGGATGATTTTGATGGAACTTCTTTCTCTGAGCTGGATGATTTGATCGTGGAGCTTTCATCGTTCTTCTGAATGACATCATCAGTATTCGAATTTCTCCATATATGGTTCATAGGTTGTCCTGTAGATCTCGATGTTGATTGATTCTTGTTGATAGTGACAGGTTTAAGGTCAACTCCATCAACTGATCAACAAATCTTCTCCATCATCTCATTAATGTACATCACTTGAGATGAATATCAAATATCCATATTGGGATTTATTGAATTATATCTCACTAATATACAAAGCCTCAGGCTTAATGATATACTACAAACTACATATAGTTATTACCATTAATGTTCCATGGAATTCGTTTATCCATAGTTACCAATGTTAATAAAACACTAATTTATGTCTTATATTATTCACTATCCATTATTTTCATTATAGATCATAAACACAATAATTTGGGGAGTAGAAATTTTATAGAAAAACCTAAAGATTACGATGAATTAACTAGTCGAAATACAAGATCCACTTTCTCGGAAACTGATATCGTTTCATTGGAGAATATCAAGTATGTATTATATATATATATATATATTACGGATTATTGTACTAAGATAAAGAGCTATCGGATTTTTTCTTTATAAGACTCTTCAACAGTATGTACCGTTGATCTCCATGCTTTGTGACATAAGTGATAATATGAGTTTGGAAGCATTTTTACTTATAGAGCTTGTCATTTAAGGCAATATCGAGGTAATCCGCGCAGGATACATACATGCCAACAAGAGATTGATCAAATGCAGTCCTAAATAACAATGGGAAGATACAAGTATAACAACACCAAGTGAATTTAACTTCATCTAGGTGGCTGTCAGAACTCAGTAGGTGAATGGATGATGTGATGGACTTTGAAGCAAATTCCATTTGCTTCGAATCCCAGAGTGCACATCAACAAGTCTGGAATGCAGGTACATCCAACTGATGAGACTCAAGTAAAACGAAACACGTGTCCTGAACTCCTCTGTTAGCCACCATCCATTCATCCATCCATCGTTGCTTCCAAACCTTATGATTTAAGGCAATCCATACAAGCATACACATATGCCAATAAGTGACTGATCCATTACAGTCGTAAACAACAGTAGGAAGATTCAAACAAACCATAAATTGTTTAATCAAATTATTCACATTATCATTTAGTATAAATCAAAATCTAAAATAGAAATTCTTTTATCATTATTGATTAACACAATAAGACATTAATGTATCTGATTTAAGCAATCCCCCCCTCTTATATCCACATAGAAACAACATCCCCATAGGGATACATTTAAAGGATAAAATCAATTTATCATTGTCCTTTTTATGAATCCACCCTGTTTTCTCACTTCATCACAAATACTACAATTAGATACTTCTATTCGATAGAAGGTAAATATTGTAGATAATTCACATGGATTATTACTATCATTGTAACCTATAAGCATTCCATATAGTTGTTCAATGGGGATGGTGATAATGAACATACAATTTGTATAATTTCAACTACAAATCACTTTGTCTCCCTTTATGATGATGAATCTAGATGAGAAAGTGCATGATGTATTGTACCCCATAAGATTACTATTCCCACAGTGATAAATAACAATTAATATCAGGATGGGATAGGATATTCTAATCATTTCCCTTTAAATTGAATTACAATTAGATTAAGATGGAAATGAAAGAAAATTGATGAATGAGTAGATTTACTGGTCCATCTTTCAATTGCTATTTGGAGTGGTATCTGAAATTATTATTAATATCATATTCTTGGTAATAAGATAGAATTCTCAACACAAACTATTTCAACAAGTTTCCATCTCTTGCTTCTTCGTCGATACTGACGATAACCTATTGAGTGATTGTCAGTTAGATGTTAACAGTTCACAAATCGACATTTGAATAGTGTTCACTCCTTTCGATGAATATTGCTAGCAACCACGATATCTCTGATTGGGCTCTTTTGTAACTTGTACAACGAAAGGTCGTAAACTTTCTATAAACGCACCTGAATAGGTTATGCGATTAATAAACGTAAGCCAAAAAAATAGATAACTTGTTGAAATGTCTAGATGACAGGAATAGGTACTCCAGGTATCTAAGCAGGCTGCGACGAGTCTATTATATTTATACCACATTTCTAGCTTTGATCCATTTATAATTTGATCAGTTGATCATTCACTGTAATCTGTAATGACATTTTAACCCCAGACATGGTTGAACTCCACTAGTCATGAATTTTTCTAGTTATCAAGTTTCTGTTCATTTTGTTCAACATTTGAAATGCATCTTACTTTATATTGAATGGTTATAAGTAACAACAAGTCATGCAGTTAACAGACATAGTTAGTATTAGTGGGGGTTTTGTGGAGATTATACTAAGTTCAATAGTTGAGATCATGAGTCAGTTGAAGCTAGACCACCATAGAAAACCTGGAAGCACTAGATGGCTGTGCGGTTCTATTGTGGGACTCCTCAGCAGTGCGCATCCATGATCACACACCAAAGGGACGTGAACACAAGATCTTCTGTTTCGTATGCTTAACCTCTGGACCACTGAGCTGGTATTCGGTGACGTTAATGTCTAACTTCAACCTATCCATGATATCGTGCGATCATCCACTATTGTCTTCAGTCAATAACTGCTTCACAACTTACACTGTTGAACTCCACTGTTCACGGCCTCTCACTAGAACTTCAGGAAATCCATCTTGAAGCCATTTACTAGTACACATTGCTGAGGAGTCTCATACTAGGACGAAACAGCTGTCTGATGTTTCCATTGTTTTCAATAGTGATCTAACATTGATCCATTCATGATATCGATCTAATTAAGCATGTTTTGTTCATATCACTATAAATAGTAATGATATACAACATGTAATTGAATGCTATTAATTGTCATCAGTGTATGTGGGATCATTATGTTTACTTACAAAGTCGCTAAAAATAACCAATAATACATATGCATAGGGATCGATGTTAGGATGGCTAAATGGTCGGTACACAAGAACGGTCACAAATGCATCCTGGATAACTTCTGTGGCTTCTGATAATTCAACAACAAAATTCTGGTACGACATATCCACAAGTGGTCGAGGATTTCTTTACATTGTTGTCAGGACTGATGTCCTAGAATCTAAACCTTTAGTTTCTTTCAGTAAATGAGTTAGGATCTTCAACTGCTTTTCATCTTTCATCGACGGTATGAGTTTTAAGATTTATTCTAGGGTTGTTTATTCTTCATCAAAGTATAAATTTTCCAAAATGTAATCATTCTCATTATGTTTTACATTTCATTATTTTTTATGTCAAATAAGTTCATTCAATATTTGGAGTTCACAACAACCGAAGGATCCAATAAGTTCAGGTATGTTTTATTGATTGTTTCAATGTTTTATGAATTTAAAGCGCATTTTTATTAGTTCATTTAACTTTTTGAGTTATCGGATAGAAAAAAGGTTTGTGGAGATTATTTACTTTAATTATTACTTACTTACTCCTCGTGGAGGAGCATAGGCCGCTCACCAGCATTCTTCATCCAACTCTGTCCTGGGCAATCCTTTCCAGCTCTCTCCAGTTGTAATTCATCTTTTTCATATCTGATTCTATTTCCCAATGTAATGTGTTCTTTGGCTTTCCTCTTTTCCGCTTCCGTTCAGAATTTCAAGTTAGTGCTTGCCTCGTGATACAGTCTGATGATTTGCTTACTGTATGTTCTATCCATCTCCATCATCTTTTCCTAATATCCTCTTCAGCTGGAAGCTGGTTTGTTTGCTCTCACAGTAGGCTGCTGCTGATGGTATCCAGCTAATGGATGTTGAGTATCTTGCGTAGGAAACCATTTATAAATACTTGTACTTCTTGATGATGGTTGTAGTAGTTCTCCAAGTTTCAGCTCCGTATAGTAGAACTGTCTTGACGTTCGTATTGAAGATTGCTACTTTGATATTGTTTGAGACAGTTGTTTTGAGTTCCATATGTTCTTCAATTGTAGAAATGAGGCCCTTCACTTTAATTATGAATATCAGTAATTGAATCTAACTAGAATAGTTGTGGATGTAGTATAGGATTATTTTATCCTATTTGTCAAGTCCTAGTCAACCCTATCGTCTAACTCAATGATTTAAGTATAGGTGACATTTGACTCCAAATAATGCAGTTAATAAGGCACTTAAACTTGATTGTATAGTGTCAATTATTGTGTTAGGCCAATATAACTTATTGTCGTTTCTGGAAAGATAAACGATCAGAGAAACGAAACGAAGAAAGTGAAGTGAAATGGCATGCAGTGAACAAAGTATGTCAGCCGACTCGATTTAATCAAGCGTTAATCGATATTTACGGTCACACAAAAATAAGCTACAGGCATGTGACGAGTAGGATAAGCAATGTACACACACATACGCCGATATAAAAACAGTCAGTGTTGATAAGTGAATAATTAACTAGGTTTAAAACGTGACTCAAGAAGAATGGAGAAACTGAAAAAACAGCATTTCAACGGTTCAATACAGACTTCCTTTGACATACTGACAAACTCAACAAATTTAAGATAAATCTCAACAACAGGTTTCAAGACTTACAAGATCTGTTCAAGGAAGAAGAAGAAGAAGAATAAAATACTATAGAGGACAAGTGGAAAAAGATCAAAGAAGTGCTAAATTTAACGTGTCAGGAGGTTCTGGACCGCAACGATCATCATAATAAGAAATGGATCTCTATGAAAATCCTGCACAAGATTCAAAAAAAGAAGAACAAGAAGATAGCAAGTAACAACAGACGAAAAATTGCAGTGAAAGTCATGGCACAAGCAAGTGAAGAGGAGCCGTCAAGAAGAAGTACGAGGATGACCTAGCAACGACAGATGAAAAAAACTGAAAGAGAAAGAAATATGAAGCAACTACGAGTTCTATGAGCTTAACATAATAACCGACACTAGAAGGTCTAACAAAACACATTTACATTCATCAAATTAATGAAACCGATCAATATTTTATTATCAGAAGGGGTTTTGTGGAGATTGTAGTGATTTCAATCATTAAGATCATGAGTCAGTTGAAGCTAGACCACCATAGAAAACCTGGAAGCACTGGATGGCTGTGCGGTCCTATTGTGGGACTCCTCAGCAGTGCGCATCCACGACCTCGCCCCCTGCGAGATTCGAGGGTCGCACAACTCGTGGAATGGTTGAGGTTAGACATTAACACCGTTGGATACCGGCCAGCTCAATGGTTTAGAGGTTAACCCTTCGCGTGCGAGACAGATAGGTCCTGGATCTGAATCTCGTCAGTGGGGTCGTGGATATGCAACGTTGAGGAGTCCCACAACGGCCATGTAGTGCTTACAGGTTTTCCCCATAGTGGTCTAACATCAATCGGTTCATGATGTCAATCAAAAACTTAATAATCTCCAAAACTCCATACTGACAGTAAATACTTCATTTGTAAAATGTCATTCAATCGTCTGAGACTTCATTGTTCTTGTTCTCTTTCTTCAATCCTCCTAACCTTCAGCCACCAGATATTTCACTTTCCATTGATGATACATACTACTTATATCTGTCGACATCAGTAGCACACACTATAGTAGTAATAAATACGAAAATTTAATCTTTGATATTTTACATATTTGATATAAATATTCCGTATTCTTATTTTTACAATTATCATTAGCTTGTTATTCTAATGAAGCTTTTTCTTTGGAAACGAATATACAATTAACAAAACAGTCGACCAACTTCAATGATCGATGCAATAATCTTAGACATATCGATAGTGAATGTAAGCCATCAAACGTTATTAAAAGTTTTATGTTATTGTATATTATTGTCATGAATTATATGGTACTTTCTCATGAAGGTTTGTTCTCTGAACGGAGACCAAAACTCCATCGAAATCATCCTCCTGAGCTACAAATCTTCTCCATCATCTGATTATATGGTACAACAACAACAACAACAACAACAACAACTACTACTACTACTACTACTACTACTACTACTACTACTACTACTACTACTACTACTACTACTACTACTACTACTACTATTACTACTACTACTACTACTACTACTACTACTAATATTACTACTACTACTACTACTACTACTACTACTACTACTATTACTACTACTACTACTATTACTACTACTACTACTACTACTACTACTACTACTACTATTACTACTACTACTACTACTACTACTACTACTACTACTACTACTACTACTACTATTACTACTACTACTACTACTACTACTACTACTACTACTACTACTACTACTACTAAACAATGAAGCATCTCTAGAAAACTATTTGAGTATGTTATAAAAATGTGTTTATACAAATGTGACAAAATAAACTCCGTTGCCAAACCTAGAATTTAGACAATCTTGAAGCTTTAAATTGAATCAAGTTCTGTGCTTGATTATAGCTAATATGGTATACAACTTCGGTAATCGAACTCGTGAAGCCCACAGTCACAAGTTAAAAAAAAGAAAAGAAGCATCTATTGAGTAACTGTCGAAAACATAGAGAAATAAGAGGTATATTTGTAGTTTTCGGTTTTGGGCTATAACATCAATATAATCCAGCCAATTGGCAAGAAAGTATCTAATTATAGCATGTTATGTTGATATTATATAAAGTACTATTGAATCGTGATTGAATGGACTTTCTTCAACTCTTTTAGAACCTTAAGGAGCTTCGACGCACTTTCTAGGACTCGTTCCAACAAACAAAACTTGTATCAATAATCATTGTTCAATTGGTTGAAATGCGGAATTTGAAACCTTTCGTCAGGTGGTTTCAATGTTTTTGACTTTAATGTTGGTTAAAAAGGTTTCGAATCTACAAAGAGGATTGTTGTCTACCCTAAACTTGAAATACTGTTAGCGATAAAACTATAATTTATGAACGATCTTTGAGCAACGCTACAGTGACCTTTAGAGTGTCCACCCAATAACTAGGACCAAATGAGAGTTATAAACCTGTATGAAGAATTAGAATTATGATATACAATTGATGGTTAGAGGTGAGGAGTTAAATTTAGGGTTTTCTTATCACGAACTGATATCAGCTAAAATGCCAACACTCTATTTATCTAAATGGATGAGTGAATTTTGCGCCGAAAATCCGAGACCTTTTATCTTTTTACCTGATTGTTTCGGTCATAAATCATAATCACGCTACTTCAAAGTATATTGTCTTAATTGTTAAGATCATGAGTCAGTTGAAGCTAGATCACCATGGCAAACTTGAAAGCACTGGACAGCCGTTTTGTCTTATTGTGGAACTCCTCAGCAGTGCGCATCCACGACCTCGCCCCCTGCGAGATTCGAACCTAGGACCAACTGATTTCGCGCGCGAGCACTTAACCACGAGACTACTGAGCCAGCATCCTAAATCTTAAATGAAGATTTCTTTGTTTTTCTTTTCTTTATACCTTCTCTAGCTGATATAACAGAATTATCTCCCATTTATAAAAGAAATAAATCTCCAAGAAGTAAACCATTAAAATTGAATCCTTCATTATATCCATATCCATCTCTGACATCAACATCATTCACACCATTATATCATATTTATATACCAAATCAATGTAGACATCATTCCTACATGAATGATGTTCATTTACAATGTCATCAAAACAATACAATCCATTCTCACATATCTAATCGAATGTTAACTGAAGAGATTCCCTATTATACTACGACTACTACTACTGCTACCACTACTACTACTACTACTACTACTTCTCCTTATTTATGTATGCCACCATTAATGGAACGTTCTATGGAAGATGATGAATATCATTTATACAAATGATTGTGAATTATTCAAATGAGGTTGTTTGTTATTTTTTTGTAAATAGATATATATTTTTTTCTTATTTTTGGATCTAATCTGTAATACCATTTACAAGTCAGGTTATTTATAAATTGTATATAGATGAATTAGTTCATTACTTATGCCTATTACTCCCAAAATGGAGAATAGGACCACAACTAGCATTCTCGGATCCATTCTGTCCTGGGTCTTCTTTTGTTTTTTTACTTCTATCCAATTTTTGTTCATATTGTATATAGATAATACACAATGATTACTCAAGTACTTGTTGGATGTGTATTCATTTTATTTAAATACATAAACATTGATACAAAGGGGTACTGAATACCTACTCGGCAGATAAATCATTTGATTTGTGTAAGGGATGGGATACTGACCGGGTGCAAAAACCGAAGCAGATGATTTTATTAAAGGATCACATCTGAAGCCCTTTCTTAAAGGTCTATTCCACAAGTCAGTAGAGCAACGACAGGATATGTAGTCACATGATAGTCAGTGATCAACGATTGATTTATGTGTTATTTGTTCCTTTAGGATCCTGGAGCCCATGTTCACCATTGATTTGGAATCAGAGTTTCTCAACTCCTCTAGGTGGATATTCCATAACCAGCAATCCGGTTAAAGTTCCAGACATTAGCTTTTCATCCCCTCAATTTCGTAAACAACACCTTGGGCACGTGAAGACAGTGAGTAGGAGTTCCCTGGTAGTGATTGTATGCACGTAGCTATGTGAGAGCATTTCGAGAGGGAGAGATAACTCTTCCCACCCTCGCGATCATATGAGGGCATTTGGGGTTAGCTCAAACAACCGAGAAGCGGATATCTTATTAAGATTGATTAGTGTCAGAAACATAGTTGTTTCTTGTCCCCATTACAATTCACTAGGATATTTGTTTGTTACATAATAAACTTTTGTTTTGTTGAGAAATATGATAGAGATTTTGTAAGTTGGACTTATTAAACTGTAATTTTAGTAGAAAATGGAAAGTACTGTCATTTACATGGATTAATTCTATTAGTCATACGTTCAAAGGATAACTACCGACATTTGCTGAATATAAAGTTACATTTTATGACTTCTGGTTATGAAGAACTCTAGGAATTAAGTTTTTCATCGTTACTTATGAAATGAATCTCTTAATATCTGTACTTGCTGACTAATGTTGGGGGGGTGGTTGGAAGAAAGTTAAGGGCGGCCAAACCAAAACATGGCATCAGTGCTTGAAGTTACTAACTTCTGGTCTGAACCATGTTGGTAGATGCAGACTACTTGGTTGGGGTCCACATGACTATCGTAACCAATGGTTGGACACTCTGTGTGACATGGCTCAGTATCGATCACAATGGCGTCAGTGTATACACTCTCTATCTTCCTTTAAACCAAGAGACTAAAATCGGTTCATATCATTCTTTCTACGAATTAATTCTTCCTTTCTGTACTATAGGTTACAACACTGAATTAACTACTTCTATGAATTTGCTGTTCATCTTGTTGTGCTAATGAGTTAATGGCAACTTGGATCGATGCATATATGTGCCTGGTCTTACGTTGCAACTGACTGACTGACTGGCTGACTGACTGATATCCATACTGTACATCAGTAAGTAACCTTAGACAAACAATTACTAAAAACCGTAGAATACTGAATAAACGTTTCCTCCTAGTATGGAACTATTCAGGAATCAGTCGTCACTAGTGTTATCGGACGACCATTGTATATTTGTGTGCTACTTGATGTTAACCTACTGTACTGAAGACAGAACACGAGTGAGGGAAATTGAATGTGTTTCAACTCAGAATTACAGAACATCCTGCTAAAATCTACGAACCATACCGTAAATAGTTAATTTGCAAAAATGTCGATCAATTGTCTCAAACTTGACTGTTCCTTTTTGTAAATTTCAATCCATCGTCTCAGATTTCATTGGTCCTACGTTGTCATAGCAATTACCTTCTGTTTCCATTCTTTACTTCACGATCTTCTACTGAAATACCTTCTATTCCTGACTGCCGTTACGTACTACTTATACGGATATAAGTAGCTCATACCATACTAGTAGTATGATAGTTAGAGATGTTTACTACATTTAATGTACCTCAAATTTGAGTCAAACTGACTGATGGTAGCACTAGAACTTAGTTGATAGAATAACATGGAAGTGATCAATGAGTGTACTTACTCATCTCCTGTTTACTAAACATACATGATTCACTAAATGATTTACATAACTATACTATAAGTAACTATTCATTTTCATTACTAATGGAAAGAATAAGAAACTTGTCAAACGGAAAGAATCCATATTATGTTGTTGGTGTTGTTGTTGTTGTTGAATGTATGGTAACTCTGAGCATTGACCTAAGTAACCAGTTAGAAATTACTTTAATATATGCAAGTAACTTTACTTATAATTCCGTATTGAAATCGATTGATTATGGTGTACATCTACTTGAATAATGACCAATTCATATTGTAAATGATAATGAGTCATTTCCTTAGCTTTATATGATGAGTATCATAGTTGTGAAGACTGATTTGCTTATTTGCATAGTCAACTATTATAAGATTTGAGTAAGAGCATAGGTGGCTTATCATCATTCTCCATCCACCTCTATCTCGAGTACTCTTTTCCAATTGTTTCCGAGTGCTATTCATACTTATGGTGTGTGTCTACGATTCCCGGAGTGATGTGTTCTTTGCTCTGCTGCTCTTTCTTTTGCTTTCAGGATTCGAAGTTACACCATTCATAGATACATCTACACATGACTACATGGAATGAAATGAAGAGCTTCTTTTAATAAAATAAGAATCTGTATAACTTAGTTAATAATATGTTTAAGAATACAGATTATTGACTAGGTGGGCTCTTATAACCCATTCGTCGCATGTTATATTAACTAGATAAGGTATTGTAGAGCTTTTACACCTTTGCTTGTGCTCATAGATTCCAAAGTATTGGTGTCTCTTTCTATCAGAAGATATACAAGGAGAAAGATGTGAATGAAATGGATGGTTAGTATTTAATACCTACTAGGAGCTTGCAAGATTTTAGGTGTCTATCCATAATCAAAATATCAACCACTTACCCTGCTAGCTGCATTTATCATTTTCCTCAACACACCACAATCTTTTCTCAGAAGCCCGATGATGAATAATGTGGAACAGTAAAGAATAACAGGTAACATGCAAGAACTTACAAATTGTGAAAGTAAATATCGAGTAATCCAAAAGCACTCAACCACTTTATAAAAATGAGTGATACGGGATCCGATCAGTTCCTTCAAGATTACAGGTACACCTGTGGTGTATGCTACTTATATCGACATAAGTAGTATATGACGCTAGTCAGGAACAGAATGTCTGGCAGCAGAGAGACAAGAGGATCGAACAGTAAGCAATGGAAGGAGAATGCAATTTATATGAAAATGCAAGAACAATAAAGTCTGAGTCATTTCGAGACAATTGACGGACATTTTGCAATTTGAGCATTTACTATATGACTGTTAGATTTTACTAAGACGTTCTATAATTTGTTGTTAAATACATTCGATTGTCCCCGTTGGTGTTTTTGTTTACCACACACATTGTTGACGAGTGCCAAGTAGCACGAAACCTAGGTCCGGGGTTTCCTGTTGACTACCTCCAACCACCGTCTTATCTCAACATAGTGCACGCAATATCGAATTACCCAGACTAGTGGCCACACTGCTATTTGGTCAATAGAATTCGATTTGTACTAAGAAGGACCTGACATACATGACACGTATCACTGCCCAGTGATTAAACAATTGTAAATAGAAAACTTTAAAATCGATAAAATATGAGAAGACTAAGAGTGATCAGAGGAAAAACTTACATCAAGATATATGACCATTGATATTGATTTTTATTACAGAATCTTAAAAAGTAAATAGAACTATCTAAACTAATTTGACATTTGGCCGTAAATTTTCAGTCATTTTCTAGAAATGAGAAAGTCAACTTATATCTTTTCATTGTTGTTTAGGACTGAAATTGATCAGTCTCTTATTGGTATATGTTCATCTTGTGCGGATTACCTCGATATTGCCTTAATTCACAAGCTTTATAAGCAGAGTGGATAACCCGTTGGCATTTAAAGCAAACGGTACTGGGTTCAAGTTTAGCTGACAAGTTCCAAATAGGACAAAACACGCGTCTTGGATACCACTGCTAGCCACTATCCATCTTTTTCTTAAATTAACACCTTAAACTTATAAATATGTCGAATACTCTTACAACTTATTGTTTCTCATAGTTACTGGTGCGATGAACGAGAACACAAGTGGGAACAATCGAATGTATTTGAATACAAACTACAGAACATCTTAGTGAAGTCTGAAAACCATATGTTAAATAGTCAATGGTCTTAGACTTCATTGTTCTGTTGTTTTCACACCAATCATTCTTTGTTCTCCTTCTGTTTTCTTCGATCTTCCTAACCCTCTGCTTTCAGGCATTCTACTCTCGATTAATGATACATACTACTTATCTCTGTCGATATTAATAGCACATACCACACTAGTACGTTTATGGACTGATTATGTCCTATTGTAAATTCACTGAATTGACTGTCTCACCTTTTATAATTCCCATAACAGAAAATTCATTAGCTACATTAATTCTTCATGAAGAAACTGAATTATCAAATGTAGACATTCTATAGGACCCTATTTCTTTTGATAATCAGTATTATGTTAGATTACCTTCAATAATCATTGAATTTAACCATAACTGATTGAAAATTAACTTTTGTGTAAATGTCTCAACCATATAAGTGATCAGTTATGGTTTGAATAGGTTAGTCATAACATTTCTGATTGTATTCAGTAGGGTTCATTAGCTAAGTGATTAAGGTCATAGTGTTTGAAGTAAACGGTACTGGGTTCGAGTCATAGAGTGAACATCAACTGGAGGTGAGCGTACATTCATCTGAAAACTCCTAAATAGGACAAAACAGGCGTATTGGATTCCGCTGCTAGCCATCATTCAATTGTAGCATAAATGGATAATTGCATTAGTTGTATTTCATAGCGATTTATTAAAAAAGAATTGTCTATCATTAGGTAAGTGAACAGTTTAGCTATAAAATCGTGTATTTGTAATACAGGGACTTGATAAAATGATCTACTTTTGGTGATTTCGTTTTTAATAACCAACGTTTGGTAATGAACATAATAAATTTGT